TCTATTGATTCTCTTCTTCTCTGATACTTTTTTTTCTATAATCATGGTGTGTCGTGCGCGTCTCTGTTTATACTTGGAGAAAAATGGCAGTTGGTATTCGAGTCCGGCGTCACTGATCTGGTTCCCTTAATGATTCTCATCCTCTCTCTATCTCTCTTCCCCCCCTCTTTACCCTCATCATCATACCCCTCACCATTTTGACCCTGCCATGTTCCTAGGGTTAAAATGACTTCCTTGTCTCATTTTGCTGTTGTTTAACCTTTCCTTTGCTCCTCAGTTTCCCTTGTCTCTATCTATCTATCTATCTCTCCTGCTTGTTTACAACTGTACCGTACCCTAGTCAACGTAGTAAGTTAGTAGTGTGTGAATAACTCAGTACAATCAACTACATTGCTCATGTTTATTTGTTTACTCCATCTCATCTATCTACATACATTCTTCAGTCCAGTCCCATGGAACCAAATGAATGAACTCAATAAGCTTTATAATCACGTGATGGGAACCACATCCCAGCACTGATTTTCAAACAGCTTGATATCGGAAGTTTCATGGATACCCAGGGACTCAACATACCCCCCTTTTTAAAAGATGTATTTATAGGCAATTGTGGTTATTTTTACGTATTGAGTTTAATTGTACGCCTGTTTTATATTCTGAGGCCGAAGAAGGGGGAAAAAGACGGAGTACATGGACGCTTACGTCCCGTTCCCCTCTGGTTGAGCGCATACCTACCTACCTTTGAAACTACGGCGAGAAGAACGGTATAGCCTATTGCGGACCGCAAAATTCTTATTCTCTTCGCCGTTGCGCCACCTCCGTCCACGAAATAAAACTGCATAATGCCTCCTCCCACACCCGCTAGCGGAAAACCCCCAAAATCTGAATTCCAAGATATAAAAGCGCAATGGGGACGGGCTCTCGCTGAGAAGGAGAGAGCTGAAGCTGAAGCTAGACAGAGAGGAGAAAATGCCGGCGCAGGTTCTGCTTCTGGTGCGGGTGCGGGTGCAGGTGCGGGCCTGGCTTCAAAAATGAGGGCGGCACAAAGTCAACAGGAGCGGATGGTTGAGGAAGCGAAGAGGAGGGATGAGAGGAGAAATAAGAGGAAGGAGGGGAGGTTTAGGGCGGCGCATGGCTGGTGTTTGGGGTTGATGGGGTGGGTTGTGTGAGTTATCTCTATACCCATTTCTGGTTCTTGGTGGTGAAGGGATGTGTGCTGATTTGTGATATGTGTATGAGTCCAGGTTCGTGCATCTAGTCGGGATATATTTCTTTACAAAAGGGTTCTTGCTCACGAGGTTAATGCTGGAGGATAAATCTGATTGTCAGATCTTACCGTTTGATGGGTCGGAGAGGGATGCCGGTGCGTCAGCGGAGGAGGGATGTTGGCATCCTAAGACATTTGATAAGGCTGTCGTTATTGTTATTGATGCGCTGCGGTACGATTTTACGGTTCCGTTTAGACCTACGGCTGAGGGGGAGACGGCGCATCTGTTTCATGACAATTTCCCCGTGCTGTATGAGACTGCTGTACAGAATCCTGAGAATGCGTTTTTGCTTCCGTTCATTGCGGATCCGCCGACTACCACATTGCAGAGGTTGAAGGGGTTGATGACAGGTACGCTTCCAACGTTTATAGATGCTGGGTCTAATTTTGCGGGAACGGCTATCGATGAGGATAACCTCATCGCGCAATTGCGGCATGAGGGGAAGAATATCGTTCATCTGGGTGATGATACATGGCATGCTTTATTCCCTGGGTACTTCGATGAAGATCTCACACGCGCTTACGACTCGTTCAATGTCTGGGACTTACATACCCTCGACAACGGGGTTACGGAGCACCTATTCCCACTTTTACACCCCGATAATGCGACGAAGTGGGATGTCATATTTGGGCATTATCTGGGTGTTGATCATGCGGGTCATCGATATGGTCCGGATCATGCGGCTATGGCTACGAAATTGGCGCAGATGGATCGGTTGATTAGGGATATGATCGATTCGATTGATGATGAGACGCTGCTGGTTGTCCTTGGGGATCATGGGATGGATGCCAAGGGTGATCATGGCGGGGAGTCCGACGATGAGGTCGAAGCTGCGTTGTGGATGTACTCCAAAAAAGGCGTTTTCGGCCACCGTGCGGATACCGGATCCATGGAGCCACCCAGGACGGCGAAGGAACGTCCCGTCCCGCAGATCGATCTTGTGCCTACGCTTTCGCTACTGCTGGGGATGCCTATTCCGTTTAATAATCTGGGCTCGCCGATTGAAGAGGCCTTCGCGAATGGGGATCGGGATGGGGTCGATTTTAGGAATCTTGCGACTGTTAATCGGCTTGCTTCGGCGCAGATTAAGAGGTATCAGCATGGGTATGCGAGTGCGAGGGGGATTGATGAGAGTCAGACGTCTGGGCCGTTGTCATTGTGGTCTGAGGCGGAGAAGTTGTGGGATGGAGGGAGTCGGAGTGATTCGCCTTCGCTTAAGGGTATTTACGATGCGTATCGGGAGTACCAGAGGGATACGCTGAGCGTGTGTCGTGGTCTGTGGGCTAGGTTTGATGTGCCGAGTATGATCCAGGGGATTGTTATTCTCTTCGCGGGGATTGTCCTCCTCGCTTTCTACGCCAGGGCTATTCGAGGAAACCGGACGAGCATTACTATCTTTACTTTAAAACGGATCGGCGTCGGATCTGCACTTGGTATATTTGCTGGTGCAGTGTCTGGATTTACGCAAATTGTGGAGATGCCAGTGCTCGATAGTTCTCTACTTGGGACCTGTGCGGGTGGAATACTAGGTGCATCCTCCACCGTCCTTCTCGACCCGAAGCGTATCTCTTCCCCTCTCCCAACCTCACTATGGGGTTGGCTAGCCGTCCTCTTCACCATTTCCCAATCCGTGGGATTCGCCTCAAACTCATACACCATCTGGGAAGACGAGATTCTCTTATTCTTCCTCACCACCTTCGGTGTTCTAGCAGGTATATCATCAATGCGCCAAAAGGCAACCGCCGATCGAGTCCTCGGCCTCTACCACTCAATCGTATTCGTCGTTCTGGGGAGATTGGCGTCCCTCTCCCGACTTTGTCGTGAAGAACAGATGCCCTTCTGCCGTTCCACGTACTATGCTTCTTCTACCTCGTCTACGTCAGCGCCGTGGCAGCTTCTCATCCCATTTGTGCTGGCAGTGATGCTGCCGTCGGTGATTAGGTCGTACTATAGGGGTACGAAGTCGTATGAAGGGTCCGCGACTTTTTGGATTGGGTTTGCGTTCCGGGCTGGGTTACTCCTTGTCGCTATCTTCTGGATACTCGACGCAGCAGATGATGGGGAGTGGTTCCCATCATTGAAGGACAAGACAACACTAAAATCTATTCGCATCGTTCTTGCACAGCTTGTCCTCGGCATCGCCTTTGCCGCAGGAAGCACGACTTTCGCCTGGGCTAAACCTTGCGTTAGTATCAGCATGTCTCCAAACCCCGAGACAGAAGAGTCCCCCTCCTCCCCACCACAACCCGGAGTCCCAGGCTCCAAAACCTCCGTCACAATCCTCGGCTACGCCAACGTCCACGGAACCCGCTACTTCTTCCTCCTGACAAACTTCATCCTCGCCATCGCCCTCGTCCAAAAACCCATGGGCGCCGGCTCCATCGGCCTGCTGGTATGGCAAATCCTCTCCCTCCTCGAAATCCTCGACACCAACCTCCTCACAACCAGCAACTCCTCCATCGGACCCATTGTCCTCGGCCTCCTGGGTTCCTTCCACTACTTCAAAACAGGCCACCAAGCAACCCTAAGCTCCATCCAATGGGAAAGCGCCTTCATCCCCCTCGAAACAATTCGATACCCATGGTCCCCCCTCCTAGTCATAATGAACACATTCGGCGCCCAAATCCTCACCGCAATCGCCGTCCCCCTAGCCGTCCTCTGGAAAAGACCAATCGACACCGGCCGCGGCGCTTCCTCCTCCTCCTCCCCAACCACCCCCAACAACAACAACAAACCATCCAAATCCAACCCCATATCCCGCCTCCTCTCCGACGTAGCGCAAGCCGTATCCACACATATCCTCTACTACGCCGTAATCAACCTCGCCACAACGATGTGGGCGGGCCACCTCCGTCGGCACCTGATGCTGTACCGGATCTTTAATCCGAGGTTCCTGCTCGGTGCGGCGGTGATGGTTACGGTTGATGTGGTTTCTTTGGCTGTTGCGTTGGGAGGGGTGAGGTGGAGTACGATTAGTGTTGCGGATGTTTTTGGGTGGGGGTAGATAAGGTAGGTAGGTTGGGAGGTAGGGAGGGAGGGAGGTAATGAGATGCTTAACGTACGTACGTGGAGCCAAGGATGGAGAGGTGGGTGTGTTGGATATATATTTTAGGCAAGATAGGGGGCCAAAGGGGGTCTCTTATTATGTATGACTATAGAGTGGATACTGTACTTGTATAGAGACATATTATACCTTTCTTTTCTTCCTTGTTTGGTTTTTATGAATATAGATTAGATCACCAACGATCAAAAAAATCTTTCTCCTTATCATATTCCCCGTCCCACCTTGACATACACTCCCCTATCCAAAAGAGCAAAACAAAAAAAGAATGACCGACGCAGGGGTCGAACCTGCGACCTCCTGATTCGTAGTCAGACGCTCTGCCATTGAGCCAGCCGGCCAATTTAACATTCAACCTGAGAAATTTATTGCTACATCTACGTACAGTGTGTGGCGAAAACTTTGTGCCCCTCCTACGATGCATTCACAATTTTAGCTTTATTCGAGATTATGCACAATGCACAGACCACGTCAATGACGTATTATTGTGCATGAGCCAGTGGGTCTTGGCTTCAGGGAAAATAGTTATTCCGATGGCGGTTATTAGATAAATCTTGGAACCGCTTAAGCGCACTTTGATGGCGTCTGTTCATGTTCACTTGAAAGAGAACAGTTCATCCATTTACGCTATGCTCGACACATATATGCTTATGTAACATTGCACCAATAAGAACGGCCGACTGGCTCAATGGCAGAGCGTCTGACTACGAATCAGGAGGTCGCAGGTTCGACCCCTGCGTCGGTCATTTTTTTGCTATGCTTTTTTTTGGCCCCAGGCAACTAACTCCTTTCCTAGCTTCAATCATTGCATTCCAAAAGTCCTACTGTCACACCTCTTCTTAGAGCCAGAATTGTGATGGCTTCTTAGGCGTAGTACACCGTAGAATTGGATTATTTAAAAATGGCTGGTTCCCTGAAGCTCAGAGCAGAAAATATCTAGATACAGGTCACGTGATTTCAGAAGATGGAACACGTGATTATATTTGGTTCAAGAGAACCTCAAAAACTCTCTATTATGCAATATTAGTAGTATCTAGTAGCTAGCACCTACACCTACCCAATACCACGAAACCTAGAAAACACATCTCCACCCATGTCCTCAAACGTCGGCCTCACTACCCCGCGCGGTAGCGGCACCTCCGGCTACGTCCAACGCAACATATCCTACCTCAAACCGCGGGACTCAGGCTTCGGCGCACCCTACCCACCGCGCGATTCCACATCAGGAGGAGGGCCGGGAGGCTTCAAGCAGCGCAAACCGGACAAGCAGATTCTCGAACATGATCGACGGAGGGAGATCGAGGTGAAGTGTTTGGAGGAGAGGGATAGGTTGGAGGAGGAGAATGAGAGGGTTGAGAAGGAGGAGGGAGCGAAGGGGAAGGATGGGGAGGAGGGGAAGAAGAAGGTTCTTAGTGATGAGGAGATTGAGGAGAGGGTTGGGGAGTTGAGGGAGAGGTTGACGAGGGAGTTTGAGAGGGGTGTTGATGGGGGTGGTGCTAGTGGGGTGGATAGGAGGAAGGGAGGAGGGGGGAGGGATGAGAAGGGGAAGGGGAAGAGGCAGTTTAAGGCTTATCAGGTGCATGAGTTGGCGGAGGCGAAGATTGAGGAGAGTGAGAGGCTGAGGAGGGCGTTGGGGATTAGGGAAGGGTTTGAGAGGGAGGATGTGGGTGGGGGGAGGTATGATGGGAGTAGGGATAGGGATAGGGAGAGGGAGAGAGATGAGAGGAGGTGAAGGGTGCTGTTTTTCATTCATTCTCTTTTTCGGAGCTCCAGGCGTTACTTCACGGCTGGGTATGGGTTTGCTGCATGTTATTTTTGCTGTTATTCCTGTTTTTATGAGAAATGTAAATGACCCACGCATGAGTGAGATACGGAACGATATCCAAAATTGCTTCATCATAGTTCTTTTTACATCAATCGTTAGCCACTTAAGGGAAGGAGACGAATTCTATATGAGTATCACTTTTCACAGGCGCCAAACCCCCGATTTTTCCCCAAGACAGAAGAGAAACACCATCGACTGGACCCTTCACCCCCTATAAGAACTTCTCAATAACCCACCCCTCCTTCGCATCTTTCCGCTGCACCACCTTCTTCGCCGGTAACGGCCAACCCGTACTTCCCCTCTCCCCAACAAGCGACGGGATAACCCAACATTCCCTTTTCTCCGGCTTCCCACCCAAAGACTCAACCTTACCAATCGGCTTCCCGTACTCAATCAAAGGCGTTCCATGAGCCAAAGCAGACAAGTGAAGGCCACTTGGCGCGGTAAGTGCGTGCATTCGGACCTTTGGCAGCTTATCCCCCGCTATGGAGGAAGCCGCTGCTCGTTGAAGATGGGAATATGTGATATATTGGGGCAGTTCCTTAGGCGATAGTTGTGCAAGGATGGATGTTGGATGGACGTAGACGGCTTTTTCGTCGAGTTCTGTGGCTCGGCCATCTAGTGAAGGAAATAGGGTAAGGTAGGGGACATCAATAGCACGTTTGGGTTTTCGGGCTATATCTGGAGGGAGGGGAGCCAAGTCGGCGCGGATAGCGACTTGGTCGATGAACCCGGCCGTGACGATCTGTTTCAGGGCACGGATTTGCTTATCTGAGGGCTCGGGAAGTCGAGCTCGGAATTCGCCTAGAAGGCCTGGGTTGTTGGCACGAACGATATGTGTGAGTTGTTGGCGGAGTTGTAATGTTTCCTTGAGAGCTCTTGATCGGAGGAACATTTGCTCGCAAAAGGAATCGCCATCTGGCGCATACGCGTAGGCACAGACGGCTGCGAGAGACTTCAACGCATCAGAGGCTTCGTCGTGCTTGCTGAAAATACGCATCGCACGATTATAGTCCTTTCGCCTCTTCTCTCGAGCAGTATCTTCTAAACGGTCCGCGTTCGTATAGACCTGGTCGTCTTCCCGCGAAAGAGCAGCCACATCCAGCTGGTTCTCAGGGATGAATAGGTCTGCGACAGTTAAAGCTGCCACGAGGGTGATAACATATTCTATACACTTATGCGCATTGCCGATTTGTAGCATCTTGCCGAACCGTGGAGATAGGGGGTATATAGATAAGCATTTTCCAAGCTCCGAAATCTGCCCATCCAAGGATAATGCTCCAAGGTTCTTGAGAAGCTTTTCGGCCTTGACGAGCCCGACCTGGCTTGGTGGTGTTGGGAACGGGAAGTTTATAACGTGATGTAAACCCATACTCTTCATTTGAAGAACAACCCCCTCGATGGGTGTTCGGAGAATTTCCGGATCTGTGTACTCTGAGAAATCTCGCTCGTAAACTGCTGAAGAATATAGTCTGTAGCAATGTCCGGGTCCAGTACGTCCTGCTCGCCCAGCTCTTTGGCTGGCGCTAGCTTTACTGATCCAGCCGATTTGAAAGGTTTGGACACCAGTACGTAGATCGTATTGCTTTTCCTTTGACCTTCCGCAGTCAAACACGTATTTGATGCCCGGGATCGTAAGACTGGTCTCAGCAACGTTGGTGGCCAGAACAATAAGTCGTGATCCCTCTGGCGGGGTTTCAAACACTTTCAGTTGTTCTTTAGTCGGAAGTTGGGAGTAAAGGGGGACAACGTGGACTTGTGTCGAAGAAGCCATCGACCCGTCTTCTGGGTCGAACTCGTCATCCTCGCCATCATCTAGACCGGTGATCTCGATGTCACTATCTTCGTCATTATCATAATCATCCTCAGCCTCGCCCGCGGGTGTGCCAAGATCAACGTCCTCTGTCTCAAGTGGAGCTTCGGAAGCCGATAGCTGGACCTTCCCCTGAGTAGACTGTCGCTGAGTAGGCTTGAACGCTTGCTTCAGCCGCTTTTCAAGATCCTTGATCTCACCCTGACCAGTCAGGAAAACCAAAAAACCGCCATGCGGTAGTTTTCGATGCCCTCTCGAGACTTTTCGGAAGGCTTCTTCTACATAATCGCGATGCGTGCGTCGAGAAAAGTGCACTGTCACAGGGTATTGGCGGCCCTCAGCCTGTACCAAGGGTGGCGCTCCGTTCCGAAATAGGTTTGAATTCTGCATGAAATCAGATATTCGTAGGGTAGCGGACATAATAACGAGCTTCAGCGGCTTGACAGTCGGGTCTTCTTCACTCATTGTTTTCCTCAGGTCGACAATCCGGGAAGCCATACCAATGAGAATGTCAGTGTTGGTGCTCCTCTCGTGCGCCTCATCAATTATAATGATTGAGTATTTTGATAGAGAAAAGTCCTGGGCAATCTCCCGGAGCAAGATACCATCCGTCATGAACTTGATGGCCGTTTTATTTGAAACCGTGCTGTCAAACCGGATCTGGTATGAGACCTGGCTACCGTACTGCCCAAGCTCGTCACCGACTCGTTTCGCCATACTGACAGCGGCAACCCTTCTGGGCTGCGTCACGGCAATCATCCCGGGGTTTGGGCTCTGCGGGTTCCCATAACCGGCTTCGAAAAGAAATTGGGGTAACTGAGTAGTCTTTCCGCTTCCTGTAGCTCCCCAAATAACGACGGAAGGATTGTTATGTATAGCTTCCATGATTTTCTGCTCTTCCCCAACCACAGGAAGTTGCACACGGGCGTTCTGCACTTCTTCTGATCGATCAACCCGAACTGCAAACGCCTTTCTGTTAGGGTCCCCCTTTGTTACTTGTAATTCCAGGGGAAGTGTCTCTTCCTCTTCCACAAAACTTCGACACTTCTCATCCACTGCTGCGACCTGCGGTTGCGGTGGGTATGGTAACTCCTCTGGTGCTTCTGATGTGGGTTTGAACCCGGCAGCTTCATTGATCTGTTGAACAGCCCATGCTTTGAAAGAAGAAGCTCTAGGTTTCAGTGAAGGCCTATCGTCAGCAGAGCCCTCGCTGCTATCCCCAGATTCATCATCGCTGCCACTGCCATCATCGTCTTCACTAGACATAGATTCCGCTTCGCTTTCAGAGTCTTCCTCCAAGCCAGCATCAGATCCTAATTGTTTGCCACCTTCACTGTCACTTTCATCATCCTCGCTTCCCAAGCTTCCTTCCGAATCAAAGCCCTCCCACGGTACCTCTTCTTCGACAACCGGTTTCGGTTTTTGCGCTCTCTTCCTCTTCTTTAGCACTGGGAACCCATCCTTTCCAACCTCGAGTGGGCGCTTCAATCCACTCCCAATTGCAACATCCGGTTTCTTCCCCGAGGGGCCACCATTCTTAATATTCCCAAGCCGTGTTTCCCCATCCGAGTCTGAATCGCTTGATGCTTCATCCGATATGTCCTCACTTCGATCACGCTTCCGTAAATTTACCCCATCACCAAATTGTTCATTCTTAGGTACTCCAAGGTGCCGTGCGCTTTGTAGCTGAGACGTATCGATCTTCGCTTGGGCAAGCTTTTTAAGCAGCGCAAGGTTCTCTTCTTTCTTAAGTTTGTTCTCCTATTCCCAGAGGTTAGATCAAGAATCTACTGCAGTGGGGCGCATTATTCTTACAATGTATTTATCCAGTCGCTTTTGCTTCTTGCTTGATACCTTCGGCTGCTGCGCCCTGAGCTCCTCTTTCAATTTTTGCCGTCTCTCTTCCTTCTCGGTCTTAGAGACGGGGAGGAGCTCGGTGACATTTGTGTCTTGCGGAGTAACTGTTGGCTGCTTTTCTTTCTTTTTTATTTTATGTTTGCGCTGACGGGGGGTAAATTTCGGCATCGTTTATATAGTCGTCATGAAAAGGTAGAGAACGCCCCTATATTCCTCTCGCAATTCGAGTTCTTCGCGCCGTCGCAACTTTT